AATTTCAATGAGTTCAGAGAAGCATCGGCCTTTTTCATGTATTTCCTCTCACAGCAGAACTTTTTCAGAACTGGAGGGATAACACAACTTATACTCCAAGATGATCTGGACCAGGTAGCTTTGCTTGAGGGACAAGAAAATGTTATGTTCATTGGCCACACAATGGCTGAAATCTTATTGCTTAGTGCAGTTAGCTGAACTAAGATATGTTCATTAAATCAATGGTGATTTGGTAAGCCAGCTGCTCTGTAGGATTCAATAGGCCTACTATAGTGGCAAGTTACTACACTAAATAACAGGACATGTATGGAAAGGACACAGCCACAGAGAGGTGTTAGATCACAGAGGTAATACACTGCCCACTCTCAGTTATTTTTCCACTGTCAAATTCTCTGAAATGCAAGTCCTGATTTTTGATTTTATGTTTTCATTAGGAATTCAAATTATGACCTCCCAAAATATGGCTCCTTAGTTTTTCTGTGGATTTCCAAAAACAGTCTGTTTAGAGGTGATGGAAGCCTTAATCCCCACCCCATTTCTCATTCTCCAGACAACTCTAATATTTTGATAATTTTCACTTGGAAATCTTTACTTTTTTCCCCTCTGGGTCTATTAGCATTAATAAAATCACTTGTGCTGCTACAGTACTTTGTAATCAGACACACTAAGCATCTCATTTTCCTTTCCTCATTTCTGTTTTCTTTTCCTATTATATGATTGAAAATAGGTGCTATGTGATTTATTTCTGTAATAATATGAAAGCTTCTCAATTCTAATACAATCATGATTTTTTAATTCATGCCTCCACATTATGTAGAAAGGCAATTATTTTCATATTTAATTGTTTTACCCAAAGCTTCTTTTCTTCTTCAATAATCTCTCATTTTTTAAAACCCATTTTAGTATGTTATTTTAATAACTCTAATTTTATCCTCATTTATTTTTCAACATTAATAGAGCAATCACATTAATACCACTATAGCATGAAAACTCTACATTTTGCACTATTTTATATATGAAAGGATTTGCAACTATGCTCAAGATGCCAACTATTCTCCTACGTCCAGTTTATCAACAAATATACTCACTTTCAGTTTTACCCCACCCCTGCGCATTCTGCAACTCTTCCAAGCCACCATGGTGACCTAGACATCTTTTGGGATGTTTTTTGAATGTGATCATACACAGTGCCTGGGAATTTATAACAGGATTCTGCGTTATGTTTTCAGACTGTGAAGAACTCCTGAGCATGATTCTTGCAGAGTCAGGCTTCTGATGAGTTTTGTAAACTAGTATCTCAATGAACAGAAAACCAGCACCATAGTAAAGAATAGGAGCAGTTTATGAATGGGGCAGTGCTTAAGCACAAAATATGGGAGGGGGGGAAAGAACCCTCTTTTCTGGTCATAAGACATACTAAAGAAATGAGATACGGCCTCACAACTACGGGGCAAAATTCAGCATTTCCAAGTCAGAAGTTTGGTCAACTGGAGTTGTGAAAGTATCATAAGCAACCAAACTGAAGAGGTCAGATTAAAAAGATTATGAGAACAAGTGGATACATAAGACTGAGTTCTGCAAATTGCAGAATAGTGTCTGAGGATGTGATCACATGGTCAATCACATGACATACGGGAAAATGCACTTCAGCTTGGCCTCAATCTGTGCCCAAGCAGGACCATTTTGGTCCAGCAGTAGGGCTACTATGCTTTAGGGTCGGGCTGGATCAATTTCCTGACAGATGGAAGGCTTGCTTTAAGGGAGATGACTTCCAGCAAAGTGTCCTTTTCTGGTGTGATCAGATTTGCATCTTTTTCACCATCTGATTGCCTGAGATATACCACCAAGATGTTATTAAGACTGTGAACCAGGAACAAACCAGACTGAAACACAATGTGGTATAAAGATATCAGTGAACAGGGTCATATTGCCCCACATTACAGTCTGATATGGCTAAATATAAACAGCATTTCCATGGAGTTCCTCTTGGTTTCTGGACACCACATCTGGCATATATGTCTGTTTAAAGTCTGAAAACCTGCACATAGAAAATGGAGATTAGTCTCTCTGCAGCCAGAAAAGAAACTTAGTCAGCCATTTTCACTTAGAAGACTACAAGACTAACCATGTCCATGGAGCTTACATATCTTGGCTTCCCAAAACACTTTTGCACCACAGTCCTAAACATATTTCTATAACAAAAAATTCACCCCTGAATTGTTTCAGAGATCACTACAACAATTAAATGGACATTTTTCAGAAGGATATTCTCCACTCAATGCCTTTAAGACAACAGGACTGGGATTTGTAGAAAAGTAATAGAAAATACTGTAAAATATGTGGAATTAGCTTATCTTTCTGGGCCATGTTTAGATATTTCTTTACTTTTTCTTATGTGTATATTCCCTTTCTGAGGGACATGGTGGCACTGCAGGCTAAACCGCAGAAGCCTGTGCTGCAGGGTCAGAAGACCAAGCAGTCGTAAGATCGAATCCATGCAACGGAGTGAGCGCCCGTCGCTTGTCCCAGCTCCCGCCAACCTAGCGGTTCGAAAGCATGTAAATGTCAGTAGATAAATAGGGACCACCTCGGTGGGAAGGTAACAGTGTTCCATGTCTAAGTCGCACTGGCCATGTGACCACAGAAGATTGTCTTCGGACAAAACGCTGGCTCTATGGCTTGGAAATGGGGATGAGCACCGCCCCCCAGAGTTGAACACGACTGGACAAAAATTGTCAAGGGGAACCTTTATCTTTACCTATATTCCCTTTCTAAACATTCCCAAGATAAAGTTAAACCATTATGTATTGCTGGCTAAAAAGAAAACATGAAAAGTCACTTTTAAAAAGAATTAACAAAGAGATATGTAGAAGCTTTTCAAAACTGAGCAGAGTTTGTTGATGACTTGTGTTCCCCAGCATCATCTGACCACTACTTGGTTATCGGGGGAGAGGAGCTTGTTATGCATTCTATACTGCCATTTCATGCACAGATTCCTGCAAAAGGCAGTACAGATCCATAAATGGTCTAGGCACAGTGGTTCTTAACCTTTGTTACTCAGGTGTTTTTGAACTGCAACTCCCAAAAACCCCAGCCAGCAGAGCTGATGTTGAAGGCTTCTGGGAGTTGCAGTCGAAAAACATCTGAGTAACAAAGGTTAAGAACTACTGGTCTAGGGAACCAGAGTAGCGTTGTGTGAAATTATGAAGTCTTGCTGCTCTATAGAAGTAGTACGGATGGTTGCAAGCATGCTGAAAAGAATAACCTGTTTTACCTCTGATGACAAATTATTAAGCAGTGCAAGTGTGAAAAATGATGTACGATGTGCCTTTCAAATTCAGTTGTTACGCTGAAGCATGAAAGATGATGCCCCACAACTTTGTCAAAAAGGACAGAACTCTATATAGCCTCCACTTAACCCCCTTCCTTGCACGAGAGCCAGTTTTGAATACTTGGTGAGCATGAGGCCTAGGACTGCCTTAGGCTTGGGGGAAAAGAACCTGAATTCGCTTTTTGCAAGTGGGAATATATAGCTCCATTCTTACACCCATTTGTCTAGGTGTAAGCCCTGTTTAACTGACTAGAATGTCTTTCTGAGCAGACATGTATATGACAGCACTGTATAAGTGAAGAGAACAGAACAAGACTGTGGGCTATTTCTTTTTCCTGAGGTAAAAGGCCCATGGCAAAATGGAAGGTTGTGCCATGCCACACCACACCCAGCCTTTCTTTCCTTTCATCACACCTTTGCTTTTCATTCACAACTACCATGAGGCATTGATTTAATTGTGGAATAATGTGTGTCAAAGATTTTCAAATGATTTGTGTGATCAAGTCATGGTTGAAGTAGGAGGCAGGCACACGGAAGTAAAATGAAGAGCCACATTGCAGGACATGTTCCAACGTCCTCCCCGGATCTTTTGCATTTTATTCTCCACTTCTGTTAGTTACATGGCCACTGGTTTGCACCAGGCTTGTGCATGCACCTTTTGACATGTTCACGAAAAGGTCTACAATACAAAGTTTCATATGTGGGAAAGGTCCCAACATTCAAAATACCAGGGTGACAAACAGTTTCTGGAGATCTTACTGGACAGGATGGAGAGAACAGAAGTTATCACATAGTACCCGGCTGCAAAGCATCATAGACGTAGAACAGACTAGAACAATTTTACCACAAAAGTCACAAAAAGGTAAAGAATATCTCTCTTATGCAAAATATACATTTTTAGGATCTATTTTATATTTTATTTTATATTTACTGATGTCATTTCTGTGATAGTTTCAATTTAAAAAACCTATAATCTTTTACTGCCAGTAATTTATTTCTCTCAATACCTATAGTTCGAGGTAACAATGAAGTAAACTAAAAAGAAATTTGAAAAAAAAAAGCTTCCATAGAACCCTGGACAGGCAGTCTGTGACAGTTTGCTTTTTTAAAAAACTCCTTTCGTACATAATCTCATCTTTCTTATCCAAGTCAAAAGTAAAACAAAATGTTTGCATGTTCACTAGTCATGTATTCATAAAAATATAGATATGGCAAACTGAGAGTGCAAAGACTTGTAGCAAAATCCTATGCCATTAATGTTCATGAGTTACAAAACTTTGCAAAAATACAGTTGTTAGGAGGAAATATATGACAGACAGCGTTTACATCACTATTGTTAAAATGTGTGCCTTTGTATGATCCACAGCATGATCTACTGTAGGGACCAGGAAGAATACACAAAGAGGTGTCTCAGTTTTTTTTTAATCATGGAGTCTCAGAGTTGATGCCTTTAAATTCAGCATCCCTTGGCATAGATGACTAAAGCTGATATTCCATGCACACACATTGTATTTACAGCTGACTCATCAATAGTGACTAATAATTGCGTCTGCTGGCACCCAGCAGTTGGAATGGTCCTTTATCCTCATAACAAGCTCCACTTCCATGGGAATTCGGAAGGATCTCTTTCAGGCGCCGGTGATTATCAGGGCCCATTCAGGAGGAGCAGTCTCTTTCCAGTACAGTCCTTGGTATGGCTAAATTCCATTGTCCCTTTTTCAGCAGTCAAAAATCCATGATAAATTCTGTATAACACTGTAGCCAATAACAGCAGCACCAGATATTAATTCCTTCTTGAGAAGCAATTTGCATCTTAAGTATATACACATTGCACTAATCTCTAGCTGTCAGTGCTCTTTGCCAAAACTAAATCAATGAACATCTCTAAATATCAGAAATGTAAGTACAAGATATTTTCACATGCAGCTCATGCTAGCCTATATACAGAGCAGTATATTACATGGTTAAATAGACTTTCTTTTTTCTAACAAAAATAAACATATAAAAATCAGGGATTTTTCAACAATCTCAAGTATCTCTATATTTTTCTTTCTTTTGTAAAATTTCTAAGGCTTTCATGTTGTTGGGTGTTTTTCCTCACCAGCCCAAAACATCCTATTTGCGACTGCATTCATGGTATTGCATCAACAAGGCTTTTCTGTTTCATAGTAAAGAAAAAGGCAGTGTAGGGAATCAATGAATGAATGCAGATTGCTAAGGAGTGGGATTGAAACAGCATCCCTACTGAAATGGCAAAACCATTGCTAAACCCCACATTTGAAAAAAAAAAAAACCAAAGAAGTGTCCACTAAAAGGATATCAGCTTTTTCTTGAGATATGCATAGATAACATAGATCAAAAAGTGGGCAAAGGGAAATGATTTTAGCAGCTAATCTTGTATGAAGAGAGCATTTTTTAAGAAGGCAATTGTGCTTTGTTATGGAGACAGATGAAAAATACAGACAGGTAGCCAGACACGCAGGCAGGCAGACAAAAACAACATATAGGACAAAGCATTTAAAGGAAAAGATAGAGAGAAACATTGATCAGGGGGATTAGTAGTGAAAGCTTTGGACTCAGAGGTTTAAGGCTGGTCAAAAACCCCTTCTGAAAAATCTACTGCCCTCCTACTTCTACATCAAACCAAGGGGGGAAACCTTCTAATGTAATTCTCATTTCTGCTTTTCAGTTGACTTCTGAAAATGTTGAAGAACCCTGGAGGAGATAAATTACTATAGGACCAAGCAGTACTTGCTACCTTAAAATTGCAAGCCTGGATGGCGTTTACCTTTCTTTCATGTTTTGTGCCTTCCCCAAGCCATTAAGAAAGAGATCTGGCCTCTGCTTGCGTGTACCCAGTAATGACAACCTCTTTGCAGTTATCTGTGTGCAAACAACCGGAAACATTCAGAACTCTGATACATCAGTCCAGTACCAAAGTTAAGCAATCAAGAAGTAACATCATTAAAAATAAGTTTAAAATAAACCAAAGAGAACAAAAAAGAAACACAAAAAGAGCCCACTCCCACATGCAGACCTGTTGATCGTTGCTCTGATTTCAACAAGATGATACAATGAAGGGAAAAGAAACCACAGAACAAACCTACACGATCCTGAGCCATCTAGGGTCCTGGTTAATCTGCAAAACGGATTTCAGATGATGGAGACAGTATGGTCCATGCAAATGATCAGACTGAAGTCACATTGGATGCAATCAAGACAAAATTCCAGACATCTTCAGAATGGGTTAGAGTCACAAGAAATGAAGATCCAATGGAGTGGTTATCAACTGGAAGCACATTGGTTTAAGTATATCTCCCTGAAATTAGGCTTATTTATTTATACTGGCCTGTAAAGTCCACTAAATGTCCTTTTATTGCTGTGATAAGATAGGACAAAAGCAGATAAGAGGAAAAAGTACTACTGGAGAGGATCCTTACAGCAGAATTTGGATCTTCAGCTTACCCAAATAACCTTGCTTGCTATTTGATAGTTATTTCACATACTGATTTATACTTGTGTTAGTGGAACCTACAGGTAGTGCTATACTTGTTTCTATTATGTGATAAACAGCACTTCAATTAAAGTTATGTAGCCAACTGACGCCATCTGTTCTACAAGATAGATGGAATGGGAGATCGAGAGCGTCTTAGAGGACAAGGTGAGCTGTAGGGTGATGTTACTGGAGACAGTCTCAGGGCATTGCCTGCCATGCCAGCTATGTTGTTTAAACTTCTGGATTTTTCATAGCCTTTCATGAAAAAATGCACAGACATCAGTTGAATTCAGCCAGAAAACAGACAAACAATACAATGCAATGTAATCACACACGTTCCTTGCGTTGGAAGAGGGCAGAGTGCAAAGACTATTTCTAACAAGAAACAAAAAGGAAAACAGTTCTGTTCTTACTAGTTATTATTAGATATTGAATAAATTCAAATTTACTCTACAATTACTTCTCAGGCCAGTACACACTGATGTATATTCTATACAAGTCTACTGGCTTTAGCATTTACAGTGATAGAACATAGATAATCGATTGGTTCTTCTCAAGTGGAGTTTTAAACAATAGATTAGATTAAAACAAATGAAGAAACCCCATATACATATACCCTTTATAATTTAAACTCCAGAATATTCCCTACCTGATTATAGAAATCATTCTCTCTAATCATAAGTGCACATGTATTGTTAAAAAACTTCATTTTCCAAAGTCTTTCAATAAGGCATCTGACACCCTGCATCTAATATTACTTATAGTGTGAGGTGTATTTGCAATATTGAAGTGATTTGCAATTCATTACAGTGTATTATTTATTTCCAGCTTTTCAGTGATCCAACACAGTAAAATTAACCCCCCTGCAATATTTATCTAAATGGTACTAATGAAAGAAAAACAGCATGACTACTTATACGTCTAAACTAAACAGAATGTACATATTTATATGTCATTAAACAAGAGTCAGTAGCAAGGAATCCTGCAGCCCTGGAAGTTCTCTTTTCACAGATACTTGTGCAGTTCTGACAATCGTTCCAGGCTTTATAAATCATATTTGATGAAGCCAGAGCTCCCCTATTCCCTTTATATAATATAATCCTAGCTCATTTTGTTCATTGGTTAACCTAACAGCTCCCAGTGTTTGGCCCATCAGAGCTTTTGAACTTCAGCTCCTTGAATCTTGACAAATGACTAAGCTGTCTGGAGGTTCTGAGACTTGAAGCTAGCAACATTTGGAGGCTTCAAGCTGAGAACCTCTGTGTTAATAAATGAGATGCCCAATTCAGGCACAGCTAAGAACTCAGGCTTAAAAGAAACCAATTGAAAGTGGCATGCAAAAGAAGGAGGGAAGAGATGAGTTGCTAATGATGGTCATCTCAATGTGGTCACTATCAAATGTCTGCTCAGTCTTGTCTTCTTCAACAGGCAAAATCAATCCATTTCAAGTTAACAACCGTTGTTGCATGAATGGAACACATTCCCACATAAGAATGTACAGAACTGCAGCCTACATAGAATGGCATTACTCTTCAGGCCACCATCCCATACAAACCCATCTAGGAGTACGTCCCAACAGACTCAGTGGAGATTACTTCTGAGTATATACAGGATTTGACAATTAATGTCAGACTATATTACACAGATAAAGAAGGGCACATTTCTTAGAATACAATGAAATATCAAAAGTTTGCAATACATTCCTCCATGCCATTTTTGGGTGTGAAGTCCCACTGATTTCCTTGGGGCTTATACAGTGGGGTCTCTACTTAAGAACGTCTCTACTTAAGAACAATCCAACTTAAGAACAGCTCCATTTGCTAAATTTTGATTCTACTTGAGAACAAAAATCCAGATAAGAACAGGAAAAAAAACCTTTCCTGCTCTTTTTTTAACCTTAGGTCATCTTAGGTTAAAAAAAAATTCTCCCCCTAGTGGGAGAGTACGTATTAACCAGCTTTGCATTAGTTCCTATGGGAACTAATGCTTCAATGTACGAACGCACCTCTACGTAACAAAAAAACAGCCAGAACGGATTAATTGGTTTTCAGACCATTCCTGTGGGAAATTTTGCTTTAACTTAAGAACATTTCAACTTAAGAACACCATTCCAAAACGGATTAAGTTCTTAAGTAGAGGTTCCACTGTAGTTTCTATGGACGGAAAAGAGCAGATACGGATTAAATGGTTTTCAGTGCATTCCTATGGGAAATGCAGATTCAACATAAGAACTTTTCAACTTGAGAACCACCTTCCAATACGCATTAAGTTCTTAAGTAGAGACCCCACTGTACCACACACAGAAAAAGCTGAGTTTTGGAGATGTTGTTTAGAAAGCAATGCAACTAAAGCACACATTATTTAGGCAAGTGATTCTCAGATTGTGGGATCCACCCACTCAGGGCTGCAGAACACCTAGATAAATGTTTAAAAGTTTTATCATAACAATACACATGGCTGCTACATATATACCAGTGTTTCCTTACAAGAAAGACACAAAATATGGGTGATATACTAAATAATCTACCAAAAAAACCCCTGCACCCTTCCGGTATATATACCTGGTAACACTGATAAAGCTGAGGCCCAGTCATGTATGCACATGCATGTACAAGCATGGATTTACCACTACAGTTTTCATGAGCTGCTGTGGAAGACACAAATATAATACTGCAGGAATATTCTGCCATTGGTCTTTAGCAACAAAACCTCTTTTTGACTGTAATGTTTTTACTAAATATCTATCTTAGCATTCCCCTTCACCTCCTGTATTTGACATTACCAAATTAGGGCTTGATTTGCTAGATCCAGACTTCAGGATTCACTGAAGCATCTTTTCAAAATAAACCGTATATTACACAAGTGGGTAATTACCTGGACTTTAAGATACCATCCCCCCACAAAAGAAACTTTTAAAGAGCTGGTATGAAAGTGATTGAATGAACATGGCCTGAATTACAGTTATCTTGGTGTGGGACAGACAAATGAGAGCACAAATGAAACAACCGTCAGCAACAACAGTGATATATTTTGAACAGACTGATGGGCCAAGAATCTTTTTCTTTTCTTTTTCCAAATACATGTAGGAAACAAGACAGGGGCAATAAAGAGAGGGAGAAAAAAGAGGAGAGAGAATACATTGATCTGAACACAGTCTTTCCTACAGAGCATTTGTTCATGTCTGCTTCATTCCAGGCTTGTTTATTCAGAAGAACAATGCTGAATGAACTTTTATAGTCTAATGAAAGAGTCCATACCTTTCCTGATCCCTCCATCAGTAGCACACGCGTAATCACCTGCTGTCAGTAGGAAACAGGTTCCCCCTCTTCTGTTTTTGTCTCTGGTACTAGAGCGTCTGATTGGTGGGAGCCTTTCCACAGGTGACAGTGGCTGCTCACTTTCTGTACTGTCTTGACCTGACAACACTGGTTAAAGCACCATGCCCAGTTTTACATCATATAGCCAGTGAGGAAATGAAACATCACATTGCCTAATAACTTGCCTGAGAAGACCCTACTAGTTACGTACAAAAGGGGAGCTAGTCGTTCATAATGGGGGGGAGGGGGGAGAGAGGTTCATCATTTACTTCTACCAAAAAATTGGAGGCAAGCGGGAAATCTGTTCTATGTTAAAGGAAAAATTATATTAACAATACTAAGTTCTTTTCAGACTACAGAATTGTTCAATATCACATTTATTATCATGGTAACTTCAGAACTTGAACTATAATAATAATAATATTCCATTCCACATTGTGCTTTTGCTTCCATTGCTTAAAACAAATTCACATGGATTCATGGCTCGCATTATACTAACTCATTAATATTAGCATTTGCTCAAGACATTTTGCTACCAGAGAAGAACAAAATGGTAACCTCCCTCCCATTCCATGTAGAAAAGCTGATTAGATTGGTGGATGAACATTCCTCTGACCCAGGCAATGAAACAGTGTTCTCCACTGCGCCTGTAGATGGCAGGCTAACCGAAAGGGCACAAGGCAGGCCACATGGCACACACAGCTCTGTCCTGCCACACCTTGTTCCCTGCATTCTGGCATCTGCCACCCAAGGCAGCTATTGCATTCTGCTAATGTTAGGATTGGCCCTAATACTTAACCAGCCACAATCCTGCTGCATAATAACATAACTCACAGTAGCTTCTTGTTATCAATTAATGTGTCACTGCTTGCATTTTTAAGTGCACACCAACTCACCAAACTGGCCTGCACCTCAAAATCCAAGGGACTCATTAATTATCAGAATGAAGCTACTGCAAGTTATGCTACTTGCCTTATATCGACATCACTAACAACAGGATTTTTCTCAATAGTGACTAAGTGGATGTGCTGAACTTCAGATTGAAAATCACCAACACCAATGGTGATTGAGCTGTGACAATGATTTGCTAGAAATCTGATAATCCATTTTGAGGGGGTTTTCTGCCCCTGAGATTAGAAAAGGAAGCAAGTATCAATCATCTGCAAAGCCCCCACAAATGACTTCTGGGTATGTTCACCTTGGTAGATTACACCCTGTGTACATATTGTTCTGTGAAAGCCCTTTCCCATTTGCTCCATAAAGCTACATATTTGGAGATCATCCACAATTTTTCTTGCTCTCTGTGACTTCATGTTTAATTTTGCCTTTAGCTGTCCTTTTTGATTCAATGGGCAATTTTTACCTTATACGAACTGTATGCATGTGTGAAGATGCTGATCCAGATTAAGATCACAGGAGAAAAATGACCCTCTACCTCCACCGTAAGGCTGAAAACTAGACTAGCGCCAATACTGCCTATTTTCAAATCCTGCACTATAGGGCAAACAATATGAAGTGCAATTTTGCCTTTAGAAAAATCTTTCATCCTGCTAAAATATCCAAGAGTTCTGCTCTAGAGCAGTTAACAATTATTAAGATGTTTAATTGTTCTTTGAACACATGTATCTTTCAATTAACTTCCTTCTATACAAAAAGATGGTTCATTTATAATGCTAATTGGCATTTTAATGTCTCAGAGACATGTTAATGAAAACTGCAATTCTAGTATATAAAGGAACATGAAAGAGAAAATATATATTTGAGATATCTGTGTGTATAGTTTATCATCTAACACAGGTTTTTTTGTTTCTAACCATGCCACTACCACCACTGCATAAACAAGCAGTATTCTGTATAATCCAACAAATATATCTGCAGATATATCTACAGATTCACTACATGCTGACCTGCAAATCTTTCTGGGATACCAGAAAGAGGCCTTGAAAAAGCATTGAAGAGCATCCTTTTTCACTTTGAGAATTATTTTAGCAAGCATCAGCCAGCTGCTAGAGAAAAACTATAGAACTATATTTAACTATATCATCATATTCCATCTGTAGAAAATCTATTTCCTGAATTTTCAAATTTAGCATTTGAAAATATAAATAAAAGCAAAGACAAGAACTCAACAAGAACCTATTTTTCTTAAGCTCACAATCATATTTTTAAAAAGTGAATCATTAATTTATAATTGAACTCTGTAATATATCCTAAGTGTAGTATCCTATCAACATTTACCTAAGAGAAAGTGGCACTGGACATAATGCTTTTAAGTAGACTCACACAAGGTTGAATTCTTAATGTAACTATTAAAATATGTAAACCTAAAATGCTACAATCTTCTCCATCTTCTGCTTAATTTCCAAACCTTTTAAACTATACGGTATTTTAATATAATGGGCCTGGCAGTCCACTTCCACACATGATGTGTAATGGGTTTTACTGAGGCATACATTTGTGCACTTTGGATTATAATCTGAAATATATTTTAGGTCCCCAAAGGGCTAAATTCCCTGTCAGTTCCAACTAGAGTTGTCCTACTCATGGAACATATGCTACATATGACTAATAACTTCCTGCTTTTGCTGGAACTAACAGTGGATGTAGCCCCAGGAATCTTGATCTGAAAACTATTCCAAGTGAAATTTAAAAAAGCTTGCTTCCAAGTAATTAAATTCAGGGCTGACCTTAACTGTAATTTCACAAGCAGAATTTGTTTTCCACCATCAGGGATTATAGGCTTAATTTGAAGGAATAGTTCAAAAGACTTGGAAAAGGCTGCAAGGAATTCTTATGTACAACAGGACCGTGATATCCAAGGGGATCGGTCCCAAGTCCCCCTATCTGGTTCACTCTAGCAGCCAGTTGTGGTGAAGAATCTTGGAAATATGTATTTCTGGAGGCAGGGTGGATTATTTAATATTTTCAGACAGTGGATAACTGAAACTATGGGTACGGATCCTGTGATCCTATTGTAATGGACAAACTTTATTTCAAACACAAATCAGAAATTGCCATTTGATGTTTCAGCCTAGGCACATCATCACATTCTCCTCTATGAAAACAAAGACTATCCCTGAAACCTAAGGCATATACTTCTGTGTTCCTAGTGGGGTTAAACACAGGCCTAGATTAACCATCTATGTTTAAAAGAATGCTTCTTGGATTGCTTCTAGGATTTCACACTACTGGTGTGGCAGAGGCAAGTGTGGCAGAGGCAAAGCAGACAAAAGGGGCAACATCACTCAAAACAGCATGTGGTTCAACAGAAGAGAGGCACAACTACACCAGCACAGGCATGCAAGAAACATCCATACACTGCAACAGGCAAAATAAACAGTAGACACCACCAAAAAAAAGGAGGAGGAGAAGAAAACTAAAAGTAGCTCAGCATTCACTGTACTGCTAGCAAATACTACAGATCAGTGATGTACAGATCTGGGGAAATCTCTCTGATGCTGCAAGTACTTTATACAAAAATTTAGTGAGGGGAGAGATGCATGGACTCTCTCCTCGAGTTGCAGAAGGATTCAATGCTTTCTGGTGCTTTATATTTATACCAGACATGCATTAGGGATTGTGTCTTACCTGATTTATTGTGTTCCATCAGCCGGTTATCTTTGCCCAGGCAGACTTCCCCTTGTGTGCTATTGCAGGCCATATTCAAGTCTGTCTTGCAAAATATAGGGGAGCTTGCCTGAGGAGCAGGCGGGATGTGCTTCTTTCTCTTTCTTGGAAGCTTCTGTTTTGCCATGGCCAGAGAATAATACATTCCAAAATTGTTGACAATAACAGGCACAGGCATGGCTATGGTCAGCACCCCAGCTAAAGCACACAGAGCCCCCACTAGCATGCCTGACCAAGTCTTTGGATACATGTCTCCATATCCCAGAGTGGTCATGGTGACCACAGCCCACCAGAAACCAATGGGGATGTTTTTAAACTCTGTGTGCTCACTAGCTGATGGGTCGTTGGGTTTGGCGCCAATTCGCTCAGCGTAATAGATCATGGTGGCAAATATCAACACTCCTAATGCCAAAAATATGATCAGCAGCAAAAACTCATTGGTGCTTGCTCGGAGCGTGTGACCCAGCACCCTGAGGCCGACAAAATGTCGGGTGAGCTTGAAGATTCGCAGGATTCTCACAAACCTCACCACCCTGAGGAAACCAAGCACATCCTTAGCAGCTTTGGAGGAGAGCCCACTGAGGCCTACCTCTAGGTAGAAGGGCAAAATTGCCACAAAGTCAATGATATTCAAGAGGTTTTTGACAAACTCAATTTTGTTGGGTGAAAAAACAACACGGACTAAAAATTCAAAGGTAAACCACACCACACAGACTCCTTCGACATATGTCAGCGCAGGATCCGTCTCTATTTCATACTGCAGAACTACCTCACTACCATTGATCGTTGGTTCTGTTTTGTTTTTGATGGTATTGAATGCTTCATGGGTTTCGAGGCAAAAGGTCGTAATTGAAAGTAGGATGAAGAATAAAGAGGCAAAAGCGATGAACTGCAAAGAGAGAGAGAGAGAGAGAGAAGGAAGCATATTAGAATCAATCAGTAAACAAAGACAGAAGATCAAGGGACGGCTTCTACAGTTTAACTCAATATAAACTTTACTCTCAAGTATATATAGAGAAAGACACGCATAAAGATTTACCTGCTGTTGTCCCTGGGCTGACATGAAGATGGCAATTTTAGCACAGTTGGATTGATGAGAAGGTAAGAAGATTTTGGGACATGGTAATGGAGTAATCTACATTTCACAGATTAGATTTTTTGTTGTTTGGACAAGGCCATATGGTATTGAGATATTAGCAAAGCAAAAATGAAGTATCCTCCCCCTCATCAAGAAACTGCCATAGAACTTAGCTTTACTCCATGGAGAAAGTTGCATTCATAATAACATGAGCTAAGCCCACCCTTCACATCCATGTGTGCAGTATTCCTGGCCCCCTGGCCATATTTGTCACATAAAACCTAGTAAACACATTCCGTGTTTCTCAGAACTGCTTGATTCTAAGAGAAACCATGTGTACAAGGATAGCCCCTTGCATACTGTTTTCTCTGATGAGCCCAAGCGGGTTGGGTGTCTGTCATAAACATTGTTTCACTGGAAAGGAGGAAGACCTCCTGACAGAGCCTGTCTTGCCGCACAATTGCAAGAAGTGTTGGTAGCAACTGTCTTCTGTAAGGTTCTAAGGAGACTCATGTCCCCTATTCCAAGATGCTTCTCGGCAGTGGCCCCTCACCTCTGGGCTGTAAGGTTCTAAGGAGACTCATGTCCCCCATTCATAGATGCTTCTTGGCAGTGGCCCCTCACCTCTGGAACAACTTACCTGTTGTTCCTGATCCACCTGGCTCCCTCATTGAGGGCCTTTAAGACTAACTTGAAGATATGTCTATCCAAGCAGGCCTTCCCTACAGCCATTACCTAGCCTATATCCCCTTTCTCTCTCTCTCTCTCTCTCTTCTTGTTTTCTTTTCTTCCTTTCCCATCTTGGACTCTGTGATTAATCTGGATTTTACCTTAGTTTATTTTTATGTTATATGTAAACCACCCAGAGTAGCCATGTTCTAGATGGGCTGAATATAAATCTAATAAATAAATATCTCCGGTTTAAGTTGCGATGACAAAAAACAAATTGTACTCAAAACTTATTTGGATTTTAATTCACCACTAGTTCTCACACATTTTTGAAAAATCTTGCCAGATTGGCAGCCGATAAACTATACTGAATATTTTAGGACATTGATTTATATTAAACAAAAGAAAACAAAATATTCACAAAGGATTTCACAGCTGGGATCTAATGGTTGTTGTGGGTTTTTCGGGCTCTTTGGC